AGGAAAAACTCATTCGAAATTCCAGTAACCTCTCGACTTATTTTCAGTTCATCTCAGAACTTCAACTTGAAAATTGTTGAAAGCTTCGCATCGAATTTCAGGATAACTATGACCAATATTTCTGGATATCTGGAGTTTCTATACCCGTTAATCAGTGTGGCTTTATGAGCAGTCGGAGCGCTAATATTGGCACTCAAAACTGCAATAATCTGCTGCCGTTCGTTTGTGAGCAAGGTATACGAGATTCTTGATTCATAAACAATCTTACCGAAATGCAAAGAATAATCAGAAAGTTACGAAATGAATCACAAGCAAATATGAATTTTAAACATTCCAAATGTAAAATCCATTTGAGGTGTGAAACCATATGAAGATCCTCCACTTTGGCGAACAGGCGTCATTGTGACAGCCGCAGTTCTTGGTGCTTTAGTAGCAGTAATCGTACTGTTGGCGTTGTGTTGGTGTCGAAAGTCGAGAAAACGAGTTGAAGAGGAGATGAATCGAAAAGAATTCATCCGTACGTCATTGAGATTGACGAAGATGGAGAAACAACGTCGAGATAACGAATTGTGGAGTAGAACACAAGTGAGTGGAATTTATTCGTTGAGTGATTTGTGATAAATTCTTAGATGGATGATGTAAGTGGAATTGAATTGTAATTTAGCAGTAAGTGCGGCATAGTAAAAGCATTCGTTTGATTGTGAAGTTTCAAGCAAAATGAAGCTTTCAGTTCTCAACGCAAGATTCACCACATAGTGATACTGACGATGTGATCTCACGAGCTCACAGAAATATGATCCAAGGCAACAACAACGCTGCTTGGTCACCAACTGAAACTGTGCGAACGTCTTGTTCGAATTTGATTGATCATTCGCCAGTTCGTCAATCATCAAATTTGATCATTCCAACTAACGATCCGAAATCGATGACTCGAACTTCGGCTCAATTGGTCAACCCAGGCCCTCCAGCACCACCCTCATCTGGATCACCTACTTGTAGCGATCGTAGCACAACTTGTTCAGCGAGCAGTTGCATTACCTCAACCAGTGGTTTTACACCTATGAGGTTCATTTCAGACTGATTTTATAACGTTTATTGGTCATTTTGTAGTGTATCTTTCGGAACGCTTTTCCGGTAATTAGAGAGACAACTGTATTTCGAATTGATTCTGTTTTTGGGGCAGTTTAGGTCACTATCAACTCAACATTATTACATCTTTCCGTGAATTCAAATCCTTC